ACGTCTTCAAGAGAAAGGGGCCCGACCCCTAAGCAGCAGGTGTGTCGATGTCCCCTCTGCCTCGGTCACGAAGACCACCATGCAGGACAGCGGTCCGCACAAGTTTTGCGACCAACGGCAGAAGACGACAATTCGGGCAAACGAAACCGCGACAGCCAGAGGAAGAGGCTGTAAAGCAGTGGGGAACCCCTGGGTTCCGCTCGCGAGACGGCCCTGAGCCCCACGGCTCCGCGCGCTCACCTCCAGCTCCTCGTTCTGTTTCTGCAGGTCCTCCAGGATGATCTGCAGCTCCTCCTCATCCTCGCTCTCGCTCTCGCTGTCGGAGGAGTACTCCTCCGTCTCGCTGCGGCCGTGCTGCTGCTGGCGGCTGCGGGGGGACACAGCCGGTCAGGGGGCGGCCCACCGCCTGTCCTACAGGCCCAAGTCACTCCAGGCCTTCAAATTCACAAAGGGCGTATGGGGTGAGGCAAAGGAATGTATTTTCCCCCCACAACAAAAACACTACCTCTGGATTTCGGCGATTTCCGCCCGGAGGCGCTCAATCTCTTCTTTCTCCGTTGCAATCTGCCTCCGCAGGAGCTGCTCCATGGAAACCAGCTCCTCTTGTTCCGTCAGGATCTCGTTCTCCTGGAAATCGGGCAGCAGAAGCCAACAGGTTCCTGAGAACACTGCTGTCCGCTTTAAAGAAAGCTAATAATGGCCTGCCAACACATTAACTGGTAAAGGAAAAGATCCGCTGCCTGAAATTGTTTTAGGAGAACTCTGTCAACACAAGCAAGAGAGGACTGGGACTGCGATTTTTGTACAGCCTGTGGAATGAAGCTCCTGGTTGCCATTTACAAAGACGACCTCAGCATCTGAACGGCGTGTTCATCTGGCTGAACCATTCAGTGACAAGGCCAGCTGTAGTAGTAGAAGTACTAGTGATAATATAGGATTATTATTTAACACACAGGATGGACCAATTGGGTGATTTGCGTCAGCCATTAAGTGCCAGGAGAATGAAGGGAGAAATGTAATTACATTCCCAAGTGGAATTTAAACAAGACTCTGGGGCCAGCACCCTAACTCTTGTGAACTTTTCACTGGCAAGCTAATGTCAAATTGCATTACACTCAATACAGTATTTTTCTGTATATTTACATTTTCCTATGATGGTGAGCTTCTCCTCAGTTAAAATACTATGTCAGAAAAACATTCATCCCAAATATTCTTCTCATCCTGAAATAAGATGTCTTTTGTGAAATAAACTAAGGTCAAATAGCTTTTGTACTCTACTCAATAAAATGCCCGGAATTATACATTACTTTTTTACTATTTTGAAATGCATCAATTTATGCTGATTCTAACCCTGAAAAACAAAACCAGTTTTGCAGTTCACCTTTAAGCAAACATTATAAAAATATTTACTTAATATTAAGTCAATATTAAATAACTTTATGAAGTAGGGACAAGGGCAGTGCTGTCTTGACCGACGGAGCTCCAGGGCACCAGAAAGGGGTGGAGGAAAAACAAAGACCTTCAGCTCCCCCGTCCAGCTCAGCTGACCACAAATCAAGTCACCTTACAGTAACCTCATCATCCAGGTGTGCCTTCTTAACCGTACCTTCAGTCAGCTTTAGGATTTCGCTCATATCCAGTACAGGGCTTTCAGAATCACGCAATGATCACTTCATTGCTTGTTTACTATGGATATTACAATATAAGCAGGCTCAAAAGAAACGTGTCCTAATTAGCGTTAGGCAAAACTCACATCTGAAATATATTGAACACATAAAAACTGATTTAAAAAAGAATGATGTGGCCCGCTGTCCACTCTCCAGTCTTGCTAGGTTCATAGTGTAAAATCCAGACAAGCCACAGGGCTTCTCTTGCCTTACAAACTGCTGCTACAAAACAGCCTGTCCTTCAGGGCTGTAGCAGCCTGCTGAGATGATCCATCTGAATTTTTTTGTACGCTATTCAAAAACAAAAAAAAGGTGTTTGCCAATAAAGGATTGCTTAACCTTGTTAGGCAGCCCAGAGTCTTCTACAGGACCTTCAAATCTGAATCAATTACAGTCTGCTTGCCTACCTGAGCTAACAGGATGTTTATGACCTCTTCCTCATTCTCGGTCATCTCCTCTTTAGAGACGTCTTCCTTGGAGAGGCTGGCAATCTCCTGAGCTATCTTGGTCTCACACTCCTTCAGATACATTTGAGATTTCGTGGGGAAAACACACCCTCTCCATTAAGAACATACAGTACAACGAGGAAACCATTTGAAAGCCACACTCAATGAAAAAACGTTTTAACATTTTCCAATATTTTATAACAAAACAGGAACTACACTGAAGGCATGTTTACATTTCAAAACACAGTTCTAATGACAAGGTTTAGGCATACTAAGTCACCTTGAGTCTAGTGAATTACTAAATTATTTTGCATTCAGAAAGTAAATGTTCCACAACATACAAGGAAATCTGCGGCCCCATTCTTCAGAAGACTGAAGCGGATGACTTATGGCCGTCTCTCACGAGTTTAAAACATTAAAAACAAGTACTGAAATACAAGCAGGGCGCTTTTAACACCAGGAGGAAAACTGAGCACAGCACAGATACAGGTAGGGAGCCTCAGCGCGACACTGTGAACCACATGCAGGAGTTCGGTCAGGTTGATACTGAGATGTGATCTAAAATATCCTGCAAGGCGGCAAGCCCAATACCTGGCACGAGAGAGGAGTGCAGAGCGTGGCGAAACTCGAGTCCCAGCAGGGGCTCTGCGCACAAGCGGCCTACTTGCCTGTCGTTTAGCCTCTCGCAGCTTCCGTTTCAGAGCAGTGAGAATCCTCTGCACCTCCCACAGCCTCTCCTCCTTGGACAGATCCTTTATACCCGCCTGCAGGTCTCGGTGCAGGCAGTTCAGAAGAAACTCCTGGACGCACACACACACACACACGACACACAAACAGAAGAAGGAGATGTAAACGGTTTTCAAGGGAAAAGAACACGGTGCAGCACTGCTCCGTGAAGTTTATTTTCAACAAGCCAACTCACACACACACGCCAGGCCTTTAATAAGGAGGCAATAATCAGAGCATGGAGATCTCTCCTCTCTACACATGACGCAGGAAAACCCCCAGCAGGGTGCTCTGACACGGGACAAACTAACAATAACAACTGTTATTAAATAATAAAATAATCACCTAGATACATCTGCAAAAAATTAAAACAGACACGACCAATTATAAACACATAATAAACTCTCGACAGCACTTAAAGAGAGCATATAATGGACTCTCCGCTCTGAAGACACAATTCGGCACACAAAGGCATATCCCACTGCTGGCCCTCACCTGTCTGCGGATCTCCTCCTTGATGCTCTCCTGGGTCTCCGGCAGGGCTGGCATGGTGGCCATGTTGGACCAGCGCAAGGGCTTGACCACGGGCTTGAGCTGCACGCACCCGAACAGCTCCTTGACGTGGGTGAAGAAGACGTACAGCACCCGGTTGCTGATCTGGAAGCACAGGCAGCTGTCAGAGCCCAGGTCGCCCGACGGGCGGAGCCGCAAAGACAGGGTGTTCAGCGGAAGGGCGATAATCTTAAGACTCTGCGATGGAGAGCGTTTCCGCAGGACTAAGGAGGAGAAGTCTCTTTCATACGGATGGTCTTTAGAACCGACTGGAAGCAGCAGCCTCCCTCATGCATCCTCATTGAATCAAACTATAACACGCTTCTCTTTAGCGCACAAATGAGGACGAGATACGACCAGCTTGATCCAGGGGGATTTCCCATACTCGGAGGAAATGAACGTTATAAAAGTAACTACCGCGTACACACAGTGACGTGAAAAGGCTCACACAAGGATGGGAGAGCTATGCAAGTACTAGGTCAGCATGATGAAACAGAATGATTTAAAGCAGTTGGCATACCAGGCAGCAACAAAGACAGCTTAGAGATGATTAAGCCATCTCCACACTGCACAGGAGAAATATCCAGATCACACTGCCAAGAGGAGAGTCTTCTCTTTCAGGCACACTTATGAATGTAACTTAGAGCTGAGAGATCCCAGGTGCCGTCTCAACAGAGAGCTCTAGAGCAGGCAGGGGGTGAGGGGTGAGGGGTCAGGCAGTTCTGATGACTGCAGCTGGCTCATTCTGAGCTCACTGAGGGGCAAGGCTGGAGAATGAGCAGGCTCCGAAAGGGGGAGAACAGAGAGGGGGTGTAGAGGGTCTGGAGAAGGAGGAGAAGTGGAGAGAGAGCGGGGGGGGGGGGGGGGTGGTGTCAGAAGAGAAAGGGTGCTGAAGGCAGGTAGGTGCTAAGCGCCCTGGCCCACTGGTCCGACTCTCGATAAAAACAGGACACCAGGACTACTTGTTATCTATGGCTGTTAAGACTGTTGATCCGAAACAGTTTTGAAGTGCCTTCTTTCTTTCTAAAACTGCTGCATTGTGCGACTGAATCCAAAAAATTTTTTTATATTGCTCTTTTTTTATACATTTATATTGTATATTGCTCTTGTGCTAATTTTTTGGAAAGTATATTATTTTCCAAAGTACCGGTTTCTATCTAATGATATAGGAACCCCTTAAGTTACCCAAATGACTCTGACAAAAGGCCCTTGAAATCTGATTTTGATGAAGGTGTCTGAAAACCAACTTGCACAATAAGCCACGGCTCTTGGGAAGCTCTTGCTTCAGTGCAGCAGACTGCACACTGCGGGTTATGTGCTGCTACTCTGTTGCTTCTTCATGGCCTTGCGAGTAAGAGCAGGAGGCATTAAAAAAGACTCATTAAGCATTAAAAAAGGCATGACTAATCAAGCTGAGAGTGCAGCTGCTGTCAGACATACCCGTATCAAGGAAAAGGAAAGCGGTAAGTTTAGAAATGCGACAAAGACACTTTTACAACACATGAAAAGATCTAGGCCCATGCCTGGTGACTACGCCTAATTGCTTTACAAAATAATATGTTTGGGAAACGTATTACTTTATGTAGTAATTCCATAAAGTCACAATAGAGGATAACTCTGTAAAATTATTGCTAAAAACATGTTCATTTTAAAAAGTAGTCTCTTACAGAAGTGATTAAGAACTGTAATCACTTATTTTTAAAACTGAAATTTCTTCAATACTGTCCATGCTGTCCACAATAATACCAAAACGAGTGATGTTATCACCTACCGTTTTTCAGAGGAAACCTAACTACACTTCTCTGGGAAAAGCATAACCAGTTCCAAAGGCTGATTTTTAAACAAATGTTTGCAACATAACACGTCTGTAAGCTGGGGATAAGCTGAAAAATAGGTGGGTTATACACCGGAACCATTTTACATGCGGTTCCTATGAACGATAAGAAACGTATTCCGAAAGATCAGAGCTGTATTAGAGGGGTAAAAAATTGAACAGCAGGAATGTTTTTCAAGCTCTGACCAGTTTTGGTACTTAATTATTTACATCATCCGTATTCCTCGTTATTTTTAAATGCACTGTAATTTAAAACGCAATGAGTCTTGCCTCAGCATTCTGAAAACATGACATTAAAGGCCTCAGATGTCTCCATGTGGAGAAGTGTGTGCTAATTCCCTCTCTGGCCTGCAGTAGTTCTTAACAAGCCACACTGCCCTACAGTATGACATGGAAACACGGCACAGCACCTCCTCACCTGGGGGATTCGAACTCTACTGAAAAACACACAAACGCAATCCCCACGTGCACAGCTGCAACAAACGCACAACCCGCGCGAGAGTGAAGGACTTTCGAGACCTGCATGGTGGGGCTGAGCACGATGGAGATGTTCTGGATGTTCATCTTGGTGTCGGGCTCCTTGGCGATGACGTGGTCCATGTGCGTGACGAGCCAGGAGAGCAGCAGGCGGCTGCAGGCGGGCATCTCGGCCAGCAGACGCTGGAACTCCTGCACCTTCTCGGCCTCGGCGGGGCGGCCGCAGGCCTCCTCGAAGCGGGCGTTCAGCTCCCGGCCCAGCAGGTTCTCGGGCAGCTCGCGCAGGTACTGCTTCAGCAGGCTGGCCACCGTGTGGGCGTCGTACTCCTCCAGGCTGGGGCACTCCTCGCGGTCGTACGCCGCCTTCAGCTCGTCCACCTTCGACTTCATCCCTGTAAGGCACGGACGTTAGAGAAAGCTGCTGCCCTCGGTTACGAAAACATTTTTTCCCTTTTTCCCTCCCCAGACAAGGAGAACATCAGCATTCAAAATGTCAACCACTAACTAAACTGGCGAAATACAAAATGACTCGGTGAAGTCTCGTCTTTGTGGTTTTGGTTTCCAGAGCCAATATCATTCTGTACACTATTCAAAAGCAACAATTTCTTCCACCTGCCCACTCCTTCCTGCACTTTAATCACTGCTTATCCACAGCAGGGTGACCTTCAGAGTAGTGCTGGACGATAATTCCATAACGATAATTATCGCGATATAATTTTCCTCGATATAATTTTAACAAAAGTTCGATAAATGTTCGATATATATATGTTTATGCTTTGCGCATGGGAACAAAATACTGCGCGAGTTCGCGTGCGTGTTGCAGACCGGGCTGCTAACGTGGTGTTGTTTACCCACACGGTGGTGGCTGAGTGGAGAAATGAGCAACACTGACGCAAATGCAGTGCTGCCAACGACCAGCTCGCAGGACGATG